CACATTGTCACCAGAGTGTAGGGTTGGCATTGGAGACTTCAAAGGGTAAGTAATTCCAGGAGATGATACAGTTTAGGGTCTGACAGCTAAAATAGAGTCAAATGAGATGGGCACCACTGAAATTGGACCTAGCACCCACCAGGCCGGTGCACGGGACAGTGAGGGCTTTGAACTTGGATGAGCCAATGGAGGCCAAGAAACCAAATCTGCAGTGAATGTGGATGAGTGATCCCAAAGCTAATAGATGACAGCAACAAGGATGGTTGGAGGGTTGTATGGCAAAAATTAGATGAGTTTCAAATCCTCTTTTCAAAGCTGATGACATTTACATCCCTGCTTTGAAGCCTTCTCTGATACATCTTGGGGATCGATTCTAAAACCTGAAAATTCATATAACAGACTGCGTAAGTCTCCTTCACTGAAGAGTCACGCTATGTCCCAGTTCTCATATCAGATGCTATTCTTCCTGGAGCTTTTATCTGCCTTTCCCTTGTCTTACACTCTGACTTTATCATTGCCTCAATCTGTTTGCAAACTATTCACTGTATTAGATATGAAATATGTTTTGGGGCACCTGGATGGCTCAGTCAGTTACGTGTCTGACTTTGGCTCAGGTCATGATCTCATAGTTCGTGGGTTCGAGCCCCACATCAGGCTCTGTGCTGACAGCTTGGAGCCTGCTTCGGATTCTGTGTCTCCTGTCCCTGTCCCTCCTCTGCTCATGCTCTGTCTCATTCTGTCTTTCAAAAATAAATAAATGTAAATTTAAAAAAATTAAAAAAAAAAAAAGAAATACGTTTTAAGAGAAGCCAGCCTAGTTATGCAGGTATGTTCAGTTTATACAACTTCATCAAGCTATATTCCTATGATATGTGCACTTTCCTGTGTCTGTGTCTGATACTCCAATTTTAAAAACATTCTAAAGAAAGCACCCTCTCTTTTCCTCATCAGTTGTGAAGGAAGAAATAGCAAGGGAGAGAAACTTTTGCATAGCACACTTATACATTTATATGAAGTTTAACATACTTAATAGTATGCTACTACGGTAGTATGATCTATGGTTAATAAATGATAGCACGGCACATTTATGTTAAGTTTATCAGCTCTGTTAACAAAATGTGAACGCCTGACATGCCAAGTGTTTTATATAATTGCACTTAATCCTCCCAACAACCCTGTTAATATCATCTAGTTTGTATTACAATATTACATAATTATCATGTTATAGATGAGTACATTGAAGCTTTGAGAAATAATTTGCCAAAAGTCACACAGGCATCTTAATAGTGGCCAGTAATTTTTGAGTACGTACTATAGATCTCACACCATTCTAACTACTAAGTGTCGTATTTAAGCCTCAAAACATTATCCCCATTTAGCAGATGAGTAAACTGAGGCACACAGAAGCACACTTGTCCAAGGTCATCCAGCTGGTAAGTGGCACCGCTTGGCTATGAACCCAAGCCACCTGGGTCCAGATTCTTAACCACTGAGCTATATACTACTTGGAAGTCACAACAGAAATCTGAATTTGTGCAGGCGGTCCATAGGAACTAAATGGTTCATTATTCTGCTGTCCTGCCTAGCAATTGGGTCAACTGACGTTTAGAGAAGGAGTACATGCACGTTCCCATTCATTGAGAAGAAGGGAAACAGTAAACAAATAATAGGTTTCAAATACTGTGTTCTTTCTTTAAGCAGCTAATACTCACTTCTCACTTCCAGATCGCCACCACCATCAGATTTCCCTAATTCCGTCTCTCTCTACTTCCAGAGCACTTTGTAAATACAGATGACTTTTGAACAACATGAGTTTGGATGGTGTGGGTTCACTGATACATGGCTTTTTAAAATAAATACAGCAGAGTACTGTAAACATATTTTCTCTTCCTTGTGATTTTCTTAATAACATTTTCTTCTCTCTAGCTTACTTTATTATAAGAACATAGTACATAATACATATACGAAGTATGCGTTAATTGACTGTGTATGTTATTGGTAAGGCTTCTGGTCAACAGTAGACTGTTAGTGGTTAAGTTTGGGGGAAGTCAAAGTTACACATGGATATACAGAGATATTTTCAACTGGGGGTGAGGGGAGAAGTCTGCGACCTTAATCCCCAAGTTGTTCAAGAGTCAACGGTACTCAAAGAGCACTCACCAGAATGCATCATGCAACTGATTTCCCTCCACATGCAGGTGGCTGCGCACCGATCCCAAGAGTACTCACCGTGTTTAGTGCTCATCTTGCCCACTGATCTGGGACCACCAGGGCAGGGACCATCCATGTCATTCCCTGCTGTAATCCCACCTCCTAGCACGGTGTCTAGCACATGGGAGGCTGTCTATACATATGTGCTGAATGAATGAAGGCTAGATGCTTAAAAACCCAGCAGGATATAAGTTTACAAAACAAAAATTTCTATGCTTGCCTCAATAACGCATATTTGGGGCTCTTCCTTATGACCATCCACAGGCACCATAGCTTGATTCATAACCCACTCCTGGACAGCATCAGTAATGTGAGGGACAACTGTAGAAAGAAGGAATAATTAGCACAAAAGCTTATTTCATGGTTATCAAGGAGAAAGGAACGTATTTGTGTCTTTAGACCTCCCAAATAACCTGAAAGCCACTTGGCAAATGAGACAAATTACATTTCTCATGTTATTATCCATCTCACTGAAATGAATATTATAGGCACAATATAGATTTACTCACTTAAATGTTATGTCATTTCTATTGAAACTGACCGACCACAGAGAACAAGAAACAGAAAAGAGAAATGCCATGTTTGATTCAACTAGAAACATCCATCATGTCAACTAAAACCTGCAGGGAGGGCTGTCAAGGGTACTGTATGCTGGACCCCACGGGGAAGAAAGACGCAGAGTGGTCCGGCCCCACAGCCCACCAGCCAGTGGGGACGGGTCTGCTCAGGGTGTAGATGAGATCTTCATGTTGACCACGGGCCTGTGGCTGCTCACGTCAGGTGAAGAGGCCAAAAGGTGACGGCCCAGCAAGGATTTGAGGCCCAGAGGTCCCTTAGGTGGTGAGCAGGCCTACAGCTAGTGATCTCTGCTGAAGAGACAGAAAGGCGACATCCTCTCGGGTACAGCCAACTAACTTAATGGGCTACACAAAGCAGGAACGTCGCCCTCTGGGAAGCTGAGGCAAGGAAGGATCTGCTGCCTGCTCTACTTCACACCTGCTGCTCCCTCGAGATGGCAGGAAGTCGTCACCAACCGGTACATCTGGAACAACCCACATACATGCAGCAACGCTCCCTCCCATGGGTCCTCCCAAGATCAACACTCAGGGGGAAAACTTAGAAACCACAAGCATAGCTGACACCTAAGCCACACCATCCAGTTTCAGTAATAACACGGCTGATCTTTTGATGTCCATCCATCCAACCCCCATGTCTACTTCTCAGCTGGTTGCAACATGTAAGTACGTATGAGTACTAGAGTTGGTGGGGATGGGAGGGAGAGAAGGGAGGACAGGGTGTCTCTCTTAAGACAAAAGAGAATCCTACCACTCAGGAAAAGGCTTGGTGAAAACAGGGTCAGACCATACTACCAGCCACTCCAACCAGCCATTGAACTCCAGTTCAATCCCCCAGTGCATCCCCAACGCTGTCCTTCAAAGCGGAGTAAGTATGATCCATGCAAAGATACAAGAACAAAGGAGACAGACAAAATAAAAACAAACCAAAAAAATCTGCATCTCAATCAGGTAAAAGTGATGAATATGGTTCTCCATGGATTTTATACATAAAAGCCAAAGACAGATATATGGACTAGGAAAAACAATGACATTAGTAATAAACAAAAAGACTGATGAAAATACAATCAAGAACATGAAGGGTGAAGTAGACACCTCTGAATAAAACAAAGAGGAAAAGAAAGCAGAGATATGAAAAGGATTGGAACTTGTAGAGTTCAGGGACCTTCTCATCTTCACATCTATTTTGAGCAGGTGCTCAGCACACAGGTCTCGCTAACCTTTATGGAAAAGAATACCTTGTACTGTTTTCCCCAGGTAATCACCACGCCTCTCTTTATTGATCACATGCTGATATATCTTCCCAGTGGTGATGTTGTTGTCTCTATAAAGGTTAATATCCAAGAACCGTTCATAATTTCCAAGGTCTAAATCAACTTCTCCACCATCATTTAAGACAAATACCTCACCTAAGATTAAAAAAAAAAAAAAAAAAGGCAATGTAAATTTACAAATTTGCTTTCGGGGCGGCAGGCTGGCTCAGTTGGTGAAATGTGCGACTCTTGATCTCAGGGTGGTGAGTTCGAGCCCCACATTAGGTAAATAGCAATTTACTTCAAAGCATGAGTGCCCTGAATTCTGGAATTGGCACAAGAATGTTTTAATTCCCATCTCAGGAATCTTAAGCCACAATTAAACAGACAATACATGGAAAGCAGGGCCCCAGCAGGCCAACAGGGCAACTTAGTTAAAATGAGGCAAAAAAGCCAGTGTGTGCAACCAGCCACCTGCACAACGGCACCTGAAAAAGGACAGAGATAAAGACTTAATCAGACAAGGATGATTGTGCTAACTATTGCGCATGTCTCCAGGTCTCTGCTGTTGCTTGAGGGCACTGATTGGGAGTCCAGTGTTCAAAAACCACCTTGTAAGAATTGAACCTCTCCCTGATCAAGGAAATTATATCATTTACTCCGATTTCAAGATGTGCACACCAAAAAAAGAAGGTTGGTTAGCTTATAAACAGAATCAGAAACCTTTTTTTTTAAGTTTATTTAATTTGAGAGAGAGAGAGATAGTGCACAAGCAGAGGAATAGCAGAGAGAGAAAAAGAATCCCAAGCAGGCTCTGCACTGCAGAGCCGTATGCGGGGCTCGAACTCGTGAACTGTGAGCTCATGACCTGAGCCGAAGTCTTGTCGGATGCTTAACCGACTGAGCCACCCAGGCACTCCTCAGAAACCTTTTATACCTTCATTCATGTCTACCTTAGAAAGTACCTACGTGAGGTCAGGAAAATCTCTAACTTAAAGAACAAAAGACCAAACTAATGAAATAGCACTATTTTCACATTCCCCAAATTTCATTTCCACTCCAAATTCCACTGTCTCATGTTAATGAGGAATCACCAATCTATAGGAGTCTTTTTACTTTGATCATCTTAACTTCTGACACATAAGGGAAGATCTCTGAAATCTCTTTAGTTGATTCAGGCCAAACCCAGTTGAATTTTTAAAGTCCTGAAATTTTAAATTCCTAAAAATTTAAAAGTACATACACATTATATTTCTAGGAGAGAAAGAGAAAATGTGAATGACAAGTCTTTAAAACAGGTTCTGGAGAGCCTGGGTGGCTCAGTTGGTTGAGCATCCAACTCCGGCTCAGGTCATGATCTCACAGTTGGTGAGTTTAAGCCCTGAGTCTGGCTCTGTGCTGACAGCTCAGAGCCTGGAGCCTGCTTCGGATTCTGTGTCTCCCTCACTTTCTGCCTCTCCCCAGCTTGTGCTGTCTGTGTCTCTCTCAAAAATAAACAAAAAATAATAATTTAAAAATAAATAAACAAAACAGGTTCTTAGATTTAGTGTAGTTATAATAAAAATTCCAACATATTTTTTCAACTTGAGGGTGACCCTAAAGTTAATTTGCTAGAAAAACAGGTGATTACCAAAACAAAGCACACAAAAAATAATAAAAAGCCCTTGTAATGAAAAACAGTGAGTAAAGGAAGATCGAAATACATATGCATACCTATATTCCAATATATATAAAGATGGAATAAGATAGCATCCACAAATGTACAGAATCAAAATATCCAAAAGATCCCTACTACATGAAAGAATTTAATATAGGACCTGAAAATAATAATAATAAAAAACTTAAGAGCAGCATCACAAAATCAAAGTAAATAAACCACTCAGAAATAAACTTCAAAGAAACATAGGGTCTATATTTAGGAAACTTAAAAACCTTACTTCAGAGACAAATAAAGAAGGCATAAAAATAAGGAAAGCTGTTTCTAAAGCTCCTGAATGGGTCAGTCAATATTTTCGGTGTTCAATTCTTCCCCAAATTAAGGCATAAATTTAAGGAACTTTTTGTCAAAAACTCCGAAGCAACTTCTTGTAAAGTTGAACACAATGGTTCCTAAGTTAATTCTGTATACAACAAACATTTTGGAGTTCAGAAAAAAAACAAAGGAAGAAGAAAGGAATATGGAGAGCTCTGACCTACTTGATAATAAAAAGCTGCAGCTATTAAAATGATAGGCAGGAATAAACACAGAAATCCGGAACAGAACAGAGGACAAAGATAGACCTAAGTAGAGACAAAAATGTAGTATATAATAAAAGGTGGCATTTCCAGGCAGCACAAAAGGGATGAAATCTTTGAGAAATGCCATTAGGAATAGTTGGCTAATCAAAACAAAAAAAAAAAAAGAAAAAAGAAAAAAAATTATGTTACATCTTCATACATTCCAGATGTGTTATCAATGTTAAAGCAAAAGGAAATGAAACTATAAATATAGATCCATAAGAAAATATAGATGAGTATTTAAATATTCCTGTGGCAGAGAAGCCTAAAGTGACATCAAAGGCAGAAACCATAAAGGAAACAGTTGATATATTTAATCACATAAATGGAAAGTTGAAATTCATCAGTGACAAACAGAGGTAATGTTAAAGCAAATTTCAAATAGAGTAAAACTATATATATATATACATATATGTATATACATGTATACATATATGTGTGTGTGTATATATATATATGTATATGTAGGTTAATACACTTTACATAAAGTATTCTTGAAAATCATTTTAAAAAATCCAAAGGAAAATTGGCATAGCACATGGCATTAGCCAATTTTGCTGCACACCAAACAACCCTAAAATTTTAGTGACTTACAAAATGCTTATTGATTTCTCCCTTGAGTTACATGGGGGCTGTGGGGCAGTTGTGCGTCTACTCCATCTCATTCCAGGACCCAGACCTACACGGGGCAGGCAATTCTCAGGGAGGAGAGCAGAAGCACCAAAGAGACAGAGCCAGATCATGCCACGGTACCGAAAATTTCTGCTTCAACAAGGCAGATGTCACATTCACTAATGTCTCCTAGGGAAAAACTCTCTCGGGTTTACCCAGGACTAATAGGGTTCCCAGGGTTTGGACTTTCAGTTTCAAAACCACGAAAATTCCAAACAGACCTGGACGATTGAACCACTGTACATGACCAAAGTCCAAAGTCAATGGGACAAGGAAATTTACTCCACAGAAGGAAGTTGTGTAATGGTTTCAAACAAAAATATAATCTACCATTGACTTCAATAAGTCATTCCACAGACAAAATGAAAATCAAAGAAATCCAAATTAGAACAATGAGATACTTTTAGTTTTGTTTTGTGTTTTGGTTTTCTCTCCGGTTAGTAAAGTTTAAAAAGAATAATATTCAGCAGGGATATAAAAATACAGGTCTTCTTATGCAGTTGATGTGTATATAAATTGGTGCAGATACACAGCCTTTATCAGAAAATCCTTGGAAACAAGATGGAAGTTGAAATTTGAAGTTTTTCAGATTATGGAAAGGTACTATAGAAAACTCCATATATTAGAAAACACTTCAAATGCAAACACATTCCAAGTGAAATAAAGAATCAAACACATTCCAGGGGCACCTGGATGGCTCAGCCGGTTAAGCATATGACTCTTGATTTCAGGTCAGGTCATGATCTTACAGTTCATGAGTTCGAGCCCTGCATCAGGCTCTGTGCTAACAGCGTGGAACCTGCTTGTGATTCATTCTGTCTCTCTCTCTCTCTCAAAATAAATAAATAAACCTTATTTTTTTAAAAAAAGAATCAAAACATATTCCAAGTAGAATAAAGACTAGAAATAGCCACACCTTTATGAAGATTTTTCAATTTTCAAAACTTTTGAAAAAAGACTATAAATAACCACAAACTTATGAAGAATTCTAAGAACTTTTTTGATTTGAGTTATAGATAAGGGATCATGAGCCTAAAAACCTTTGGTAATATACATCATACGCCAAAAGCCTGAAAAGCATATGTGACATCAAAAATTCTGCACACAGGCATTTATGTTTAAAAAAATAAGACTTCAAGATTTCCATCACAGTGTTATTTATAATATCGATACACTGGAAATTATTTCCTATTATTGTACAGATTGTGTGCAGCCTTTAAGAGTATAAAATATATATAAATGTCCACATTACATTGTTGTAAAAATTAGATTAAAAACTAGTGTGACTATAAGATCCAATTCATTTAAAGTTCAAAAAAAAAGCAAAAGTAATGTCTGGAGTTAATCTTTACGATGTGTCAAAAAGTTTAGAGAACATTGATTAAGGAAGCATTTTCCTAATTGTTGAAAAATAACTCTGTTAATGCTCATGTATCCCTACTAGTAGGTTACGCAGCACACGGTGTATTATGTAGTACGTAATAAAAATAAGATGAAAAAGTAAAAAAAGAATAAAGCTAAAAAGAATAAGCAAAAGTAATCTATGGTGTTAGAAGACAGGATAGCAGTCACCTTGGTGGTTTCTGGTGGGGAAAGATGGAAGGAGCAACGAGGGGTTTCTGTTTCTTGATCTGGGGGCCAGCTACACAGTATGTTCATCTTATCAAGTGGTACACTTACGATCTATGCACTTTCCTGCTTGCATGTAAAAAGTTTAAAAAGAAAGTACCTAGAGGCTCCTGGGTGGCTCAGTCGGTTAAGCAGCCGACTTTGGCCCAGGTCATGATCTCCCAGTTTGTGAGTTTAAGCCCCACATAGGGCTCTCTGCTGTCAGCACAGAGCCCACTTTGGATCCCCTGTCGCCCTCTCTGCCCCTCCCCTGCTCGTGTGCGCTATCTCCCAAAAATAAATAAATAGTAAAAAAAAAAAAGAAAGTATGTAAGTGCTAATATCTTTTAAAAAGTAATTGGCATATACACTCAAATGTCCACATTACTAATAGTTGCCCCAAGTGGTGGGAAATGGATGATTTTCATTTTCTTCATGACAGTCTATATTGTCAATATAACTGTCAATATGATCTATATTGTCTGACTTCTCTTAACAATGAAATGTTAAGAGAACTATATGACCTCTATTGTAAAATAAAAAACATAATTTGTACTGCAAAAGGTACAATCAAAATGGTATCCTCATACACATGTTCATAATGTATGATCCAGCAACTCTACTTCTGGAACTCTAACCTAAAGAAATTACCCAAAATACAAGAAAGAGCTGCAATTTAACCCCATGCTTTATAAGACGGGGAAATTATTCTCTCATACCGTGCTCATAAGGTGAAAAAGTGCCTGCATCGATGTTAATATAAGGGTCAATTTTGATGGCAGTGACTCGGAGTCCACATGATTTGAGAATCGTTCCAATGCTGCTCGCGATGATCCCTTTACCAATGCCTGAGATGACCCCTCCAGTGACCAGAATGTACTTCATTGGGAGATGAGTGGCTAGGTGCCAGCACCCAGATATAATCTGAAAGATAATAAAATTAAGGGTCAGGGAAGAGAAACATATTCTCAAACCAGTGAAGCAGGAGGGGGTTAAACCAGAATTTCAAAAGCAGACAGCATTTTTCCATATAAAGTAAATTTTTGAAACAAAATCTTATTTTCTCGGTTTTCCATTTTCGTCGATATGCAGGAAGCTGTGGAAACTTTCTGCAAGCAAAGTGGCTGGCTCCATTGCCCTGATTTTCCATTTACCCCAACTCTGTCACGTGAAAAACTCTTGCTTTTCATCACGAGAAACCAAATTTTCATGGAATTCAGAGGCATGGTAAAATTTTTGCTTAAGGTTTATTTATTTTTCAGAGAGAGAGAGAGAGAGAGAGAGAGAGACGGAGGGGGAGGGGGAGGGGGAGGGGAAAGCAAAGAGAGGGAGACACAGAATCCAAAGCAGGTTCCAGGCCTTGAGCTGTCAGCACACAGCCTGACGCAGGGCTCAAGCTCATGAACCACGAGATCATGACCTGAGCCGAAGTCGGACAATTAACCAACTGAGCCACCCACCTGCCCCAGAAGAGACAAGGACCTATAATCAAACTGATCTGTACTGATTGTATCTGGGCAAGTTACTAATCCCCTCTGTGCCTGTTTCTTTATCTGTGAAATAGGATAAAAGATACCAGTCCCAGGGTGCCCGAGTGGCTCAGTCAGTTAAGCATCCAATTCTTGGCTTCAGCTCAAGTCATGATCTCACCTTTTTGTGAGATCGAGCCCCACATCAGGCTCTGCGCTGACAGCATGGAGGCTGCTTGGGATGCTCTCTCCCTCTCTCTCCACTCCCCCCACCCCCACAAATAAATAAATAAACTTAAAAAAAATAGCAGTTCCTTGGAGAATTATTCAGCACTAAAAAGGAATGAACTATCATGCCATGAAAATACATGGGGGAAACTGCCATGCATATTACCAAGCGAAAGAAGCCAATCTGACAACGTTACATGCATCCTGTATGATTCCAACTATTTGGCATTCTGGAAAGGGCAAAACTATGGAGACAATAAAAATATCAGTGGTTGCCAGAGTTTAGGGGGAGGGAAGGATGAATAAGCAGAGCACAGAGGATCTTAAGGGCAGTGAAACTGTTCTGTGTGATATTCTAATGGTGGATACACATCATTATGCATTTGTCCAAACCCACAGAATGTAAAACACCAAAAGCAAACGCCAATGTAGTCTAATGGACTTTGGATGATAATAATGTATCAATGTAGGTTCATCAGTTGTAACAAATGAACCACTCTGGTTCCAGATGTTGACAGTGGGGAAGGCTGTGCCTGTGGGGGCAGGGGATACATGAGAACTCAGTGCTTACCGCTCAGTTTTGCTATGAACCTAAAATTGCTCAAAAACACGAAGTCGGTTTTCTTTAAAAAAATCAATATTCAAATAAGCCAACATTTTAAAAAATCTCATAGGTGGTTGTGAGGATTGAATGAGCTATAGATTAGAGGTCAGCTGATGCCCATTCTGATTTTGTAATTTGCTTTCAAAACAATCATGATTTGAAGGTGTATAAGGTTATACCTCACTTCAGAGCTCTGAGTTCAATTTAAACTAGTCGACCATGGTCAAGGCAAGTAAACTGAAGCCATCCAAAATATACATGAAGCCATACAAAATACACTGAGCCCAGGTGGCTCAGTCGGTTAAGCATCTGACTCTTGATTTCGGCTCAGGTCATGATTCACGGTTCGTGAGTTGAAGGCCTGCATCAGAGTCTGTGCTGATGGTGTGGAGCCTGCTTGGGATTCTCTCTCTCCCTCCCCCACTTCTCCTTCCCTGCCCCAAATAAATAAATAAACTTAAAAAAAGCATACAGATATAGATATATAGATATACACATACATATAAGTATATACTTTTATACACATATGTCCCATCCCAAATGGCTTCCCTAAGTCCCTGGACCTACCTTTGTCTACACACTACAGGTGATCACATCCAGTGCCATTGTTCCCCTTCCCTAGCCAGCTGGCATTCCATTGACTGCAGCTAAATTCAGCATAAAAGATTCACAATCAGTCCAAACCCAGAATGGTCCTCCTGTGGATCCACAATACATCTGAATATTCGCCTCTTTCCACTCCCACTGGCCCAGGTGGTCATTATAGGGGTAATTTCTTCACAGCTCTCCCTTACCCACTCCTCTGTTGATTTCTTCTGTTTTGATAAGTGCCCCTCCTCTAAAGTCAGACAGCCTGGGTTCAAATGTTCACTCTGTTATTTACAACTCTGACCCTGGGCAACTTTTTCAGCTTTTCTAAACCTTGAATTTCCCTACCTGTGCAGTCCACAGACATAATAATAGTGCCCGCGGTATACGGGCATGTGGGCATTTACAAAGAGAGTGCCCAAGTGCTCAATGAAAGTTAGCCGTTAGCATTTTTCACAGCACTCTGCTCACCATTCAATCAGCTCACAAGTGTTTATTAAATGTCTATTATGCTTGACATGTTCCCAGGTCCTGGGACTATGGGGATGAACAAAAAGGCAAGACCCCTGCCCTCTTGGACTTCACCTTTCCTACGGGATTAAGGGGCAAATTGAAGCCAGCGTGTGTTTTGTCAGTTGAGAGGAAAGAATGAATACTAGAGGTCATATCGCCCCGAGCCGCAGCTGGACTAGGAACAGCAATCCAAGGAACCCGTAGGATTGCAACTCCATTCCCTTACAAGTAAAGACGTAATTACCAGGTGTACCTAATGAAATCTCCAACATAAACACAAAGTTAGAGGAAGGAGCACCCGAGCACCTGCTAGCATGATCTCATGGCATCCACCTCCTCAGGAGATCCCTGCCCCAAATCTTGCCCTTAAAATCCCTCTCACTTGCAAACCATTAGGGAGTTAGCAACTTTAGAGGATTAGCTCCCTGTTCTCCTAGGTAGCATCACACCAATAAATAGCCTATCTTCCTTTACTGCAAAAAGCTCAGTGTCAGTTTTTATTGGCTTGCTGGGCATGGGTTGAACAGTCTCATTTGGTTCCGGTACAAAATGAGCACTGCTGTAACTGTAACTTATACTTGCACTGTGACACTATTAAAATGACTTCCTGGGATCCCTCTGTAGTTCAGGGCTCAGGTCATGAGTTCATGACCCAGGTGGTTCCTGGGTTCCAGCCCCGTGTCGGGCTCTGTGCTGACAGCTTGGAGCCTGCTTCAGACTCTGTGTCTCCCTCTCTGTCTGCCCCTCCCCCGCTTGTGCTCTGTCTCTCTCTCAAAACTAAATAAACATCAAAATATTTTTAAATAAAAATAAAAATAAATGACTTCCTATTTGTGAAAGTTAGCAAAATCAAAAAATGCCATTGAAAACAAGAGTGCGTTCATGTGAAGTCTCATGTGGTTGTCAAACAGCCTAAGAATTTTTCATAAAAAATTCCCTTATATACAAGGATATAAAATCGAATACATGATCTCAATTATATTTTTTAATGAAAACTTATCAAAAGTACCTCAAAAACTAAATTTTAATACTTAGGTGGTTGGGCTGTAGGCAATTACTACTTTTTTATATTTTCTTTTTAAAATTTTTTTTTCAACGTTTTTATTTATTTTTGGGACAGAGAGAGACAGAGCATGAACGGGGGAGGGGCAGAGAGAGAGGGAGACACAGAATCGGAAACAGGCTCCAGGCTCTGAGCCATCAGCCCAGAGCCCGACGCAGGGCTCGAACTCACGGACCGCGAGATCGTGACCTGGCTGAAGTCGGACGCTCAACCGACTGCGCCACCCAGGCGCCCCTCTTTTTTATATTTTCAAAGGCACAAGATAACCTTTTTTTAAGCACATCAGATATTTTACAATGTTCTTCTTGAAAATGTAACTTAATATCGAAGAGACACCTACTCCTTTCGACTTGTAAGCAAGGCAGTAAGTTTGAAGCAAAGTTTTAAAACTGTAAGAAAAATCAGGCTCTTTAGGCTACTTCCCTGAATCTGTATGTCTTCACCATATGAAGACTAAAGTTTTCATTTACTTTTTTTTTT